TATCGCAAGACTTTGGGTACACAATAATCATGACCCAATGGGAAAATTTGTGGAAAACAAATTGGAAATTCACAGCTTACTACTCCTTGAGAGAGAATTTCCTAAAAATGAAACACCAATGGTATTTAACCCCTTGGAAACATTCCAAGATGTATAAAAGTGTCCCAAGCAACTGCTGGAGGTGTAAAGAAAAGCCAGGTACTCTGTTTCATATGTGGTGGCAGTGCAAGGAAATTAAGGTGTTTTGGGAGGATATCCATTTAGAATTGGAAAAAAAAAATGTTTAAAATATCCTTTAATAAAAAACCAGAAGCCAGCCTTTTGGGAATTACAGATTTGGACATTCCCAAAAAGGTAAGAGTGCTTTTCTATATGCCACGGTCACAGCAAGAGTTCTTACTGCGGCAAACTGGAAGAGTGATAAATTTCCTTCAAGGTTTGAATGGATTTAGAAACTGGCTGAATTTGTGGAATTAGATAGCTTGTTTGATAAAACACAAACCAAACCAAACAAGGTATTTGTTTCAAAATAGGAAGTCTTTAAAATCTATTTGAAAAATAATTATTGTAGTTTAAACTCTGTCACAGCATTTGAATAATATCAGTAGCAGTTTCAAGTATGATGTATGACCTAAGATAGATTAAAATTTAATAAATTTTAATAATATCTTGTTCTGTTTCGGCAGCAAGCCAATGGTGAGTAACTGAAGTAAGGAGTGGACTGTAGAAAAAGACCATTTTTATTTTACTGTTTTGAGACTATTATTTGATATATATATATATATATATATATATTTCTTTTTCTTTTTGCTTTATGTTGATGTATATGGATATTTGTCTTTTTGTTGGTGTGTTAAAGTGAATAAAAAACAAAAAAACAAAAGCATGATTCCCCTCTTTATTTTGCCTTAAAAAAAATAAAGTTGAAAAACTGAAAGGTGGCAGTATGAAGAAACCTATATGTAAAGTTGCTATTAATAATATATTTATTTATTTGTGGACATGTACAGAATGGCATGTTTTGTATTTAAAATGTTGGGTTATATTGTGGAAAGAACAGGGTGGGGGACCTTTTCAGATCATTGTCAAAGTAACTAGTGTTTGGTGATTGATTTACCCAAGGTTGTGTGTTCTGCATTTGTGCCCTAAAAGCCAGAGATGAGGAAGCTGTGATCCTCCAGGTGTAGTCCCCTGGCCATTGGTCATATTGGGCTGATGGGAATTGGGAGTCCATCATCATTTGGAGGCCCACAGGTTCTCCATCCCTGATATAAGCCCTGAAGAAGCTGGAATGGGAGGTGAAATCAGCAAAGCCAGAGTCAGATTTTTCTTTAAAAAAATATTCAAAGGCATAATCCAAAGTTCTCCACTTGGGCAGGGGTGGAGGAGTGTGCCAGAGTCCTATTAATTTTAAAAGAGCTATAGCACTGACATAATGCTCCCACTGAAATCAGTGGGCCTTAAATATGTTCAACTGTGCCACAACAGCTGTGATTTTTAACCTACAAGTCTATAAAGATAGCTCTGATGCCACATTTTTGTGGGAGGGGGTTGAGGGAGTATGTCACACCTCTGTATTATCAGGATTATGCAAAGATAGACAAGCTTGTTTTAATTTTTGTATTTCATATTATAGAGGACAGGAAGTCCAGTGTCCTCCAGATGTTGTTGAACTTCAGTTCCCATGAGTTCTAGCCAGCATGTTTAACAGGTGATGAGAGTTGTAGACCTGCAACATCAGGTGCAAAGCCACAGGTTCTCTACCCTGTCATAAGAAGATCTAGGATCTGTAATTTGTTGGCATGGAATTTATTTTTGTGTGTGTGTGTTGCAGAACTTGCAGGATTTGGGGTTTTACCTTGAAGTGGTTAGGCTTCTGCTTTCCAAAACTGATGAAGTCATTGAATAAATTAAGGCATTTTCCATCACCTTTTGACACTAACATGAAATCCGGAGGAGTGGTTTTCTTCTACTGCTATTGATCAGTGAAGTACAAAAAAAACCCAAACCTCTGGGGGCTGATTTGCTTGTTTCTATATGTAGCCTCCCAATACTCATTTTCTTCTTCTGCATCTTTTGTGTACATGTGCTTGTATATCATGTGGAGAGCAACAAGTAAAAGGTTCTGCCTTGCTATAGTAGCATGTGGTGTGTATGTGCGTGTGAGAAATTTTAATTTCCCTTTTTTCTCACTCCAAAACTAGGCTTTGTAGAAAAGGCCCTTCCCTTCCAGCAGCACGAGCCCTTAAGGAACATGTAGGCTTGTTAAGGATCTAAGAAACTACTACCTCTTCCAACCCTCTATCCCAGGGTTTCCCAAACTTGGGTCTCCAGCTGCTTTTGGACTACAATTCCTGTCATCCCAGACTACTGGTCCTACTAACTTCCATAGCCAGGAACAATAAGCTGGTTTACTAATAAGCCTGCATAACTTTTGTCTATGCATAAAAATAATTTTAGCTTATGCGCAAAGATCATTGCAGGTGCTATCAAAGAAGAGGCATCCATCCCACCCCCAATGATAGTTGAGGGAAAGTGGAACGCCTTTTCTGATATTTGTACCAAGAGATTAAATCTACTGCCCAATTTAGTCAGAAGAACCATTTAAAACATAGAATTGTAGAGTTCGAAGGGACCCCCTGGGTCATCTAGTCCAAAATCTAGTTCCTGCTGCACACATGCACACACAGTTTTGCTTGTCAGTTGCCAATGTAAAAAGTTACTGCAGCATTTACAGAGGAAGCTGGGAAATGTACAGCCCTAAGGAACTGCTGAAGGTGGCATAGAATACGTTCAGCAATTAAGAACCAGATGCATGGAAGGAGTACTCCAGTGACCATTAATGAACTGCAACAGGGGACAACCACCCTACTTAACCTTGTATCTGGTTAAGAAGCAAGAGACACTTACTAAAGCCTTATAGAGCTCATTGGATTTTTCACTTTTGTTTGCTCAGTAGCATGCAGGGCACCACTTGTGAGAGGAGTGTCATGAATTTCGCTCGTAAGATACCATGTAAGGCAGAGATCCTGTTGGACTCTAACATTCTTGGGTTTGTGTGCTGCAACCACCTTCTTCAGATCCCACCAGATTTTTTCTATGGGGTTCAAATCAGGTGACTGTGATGGCCGCTATAGAACCTTCCAGGACTACTTCTGCAACCCACCCTTGGTGAAATTTGAGGTATGCTTGGGATCACTGTCTTGTTGGAAAATCCAAAGACGCCTAAACTTCAGCTCACTCACAGATGGCATGACGTTTCTGTGGGAATGTTGTGGACAGTAGGAGAGGATATATTGATTAAATATTATCCTTCCTCACTCATGCTAGTGAGTGATATAGATAGATAGATATCTCAGAGCTCATTCGCCTTCACACGGCAGAAAGCTAGTTTGCAGATTCATTTGTATCTAGTTAAGCAATCCAAATTCGCATGCCCCGATTGGAGTATATTCCTGGTAAGACCCCTTTGTTCCCTCTTAAAAAGAAATAAAAGACACAAATCTTTTCCTTATGAGTAATGAAGTTTACTCACGTTCAGTTCACAGTATGATCTCTGAAGGCAGCCTTTAGCTTGTAGTTACAGATACAGTGTGGCTTACATCCTTGTAAGGATGGGCCGATGTGCTGCTGGCACAGAGCCAGCAGACAGCATCAGGAGCAGTGGCCAAAATGGAAGAGAGTGGCAAAAGAGAGGAGGGATGGCTGCATGACTGGCCCCTTTGTAGAGTCTGCAAGGGTCACGTCCACCTACCTGGTCACATGCAGGTGGAAGGATATTCCAGACCAGGTGTAACAAGAAATTCTACCTTGGCTGGAATAACACCCCCTGTCTGTGTCCACTCTAGGGAAACAAGGAATGTTGTATTTGACTGCTCCAATGGATCACACCCCCCCCCCCGTTTCCTCCTAGGCTATTCCGATACTTCAGTGAATCCATCCTGTCTTTCACACGCTGCAAGTTTCCAGTGCCAGAGGATGGAAAGCAGCCCCAGAGCATCATCGAGTCACCACCATGCTTCACTGTAGGCAGAGTGTTCTTTTCAGCGTATGCTTCATTCCTCTTCCTCCAGACATAGTGCTGATCCATGGGGCCAAAAAGTTCCAATTTTGTTTCATTGCTCCACAGAACAGAATCCCAAAACTTTTGTGGCTTATGTATATGATTTTGAACATATTGGAGCCAACCTTTCTTGTGCTTTTGGGTCAGTATTGTGTACATCTTGGGAGTTCTGGCATGGAAACCCCCTGCATTTACTATGAGCTTTACTGTGCTCACTGAAACCTCAGTGTCTGCTGCCACCAAGTCTTGCTGCAGCTCTTTTGCAGTCACTGAGGGTTTTTCCCAGCCTACCATCTCAGAAATCTGGTTGCTGTCGCAGATAGCTTCCTTTTTCTGCCCCATCTAAGTAGTGTGACCACTGTTCCTTTAACTTTGAACCTCCAAACTATGCTTCCAACAGTGTCTCTAGGAACATTCAGCACCTTCACTATCGTTTTGTATCCTGCTCTTTGTTTGTGAAGGCCAACGATCTCTTCTCTGACCTTCTTGGACCATTCTCTTGACTTAACCATATTCATAGCTGGCAACATTTCCCTTTTTTAAAGGGAAATTCCCTTATTCCGAATAGAATTCCTCACAAGAAAAGGGAAAAGTTGACAGCTATGGCCATATTTCTAACTTGCAGCCAAATTTGACACTCCACAACCCCCTAGCCAGCTCTGGTATTTCATGTGTTGCAGCTCAAGCACACCTGGTGCAACTAATAAAGCCCTTAATTAGTTGCATCAGGGGTGCTTGAGACAACACCTGTTGTATTTGTGCTGTTGTGAGGGATTCTATTTAGGGGATTCAATAATAGTGAGGCTGGAGAAGCCCATATAACAGGCATAGGCAAACTCGGCCCTCCAGGTGTTTTGGGACTACAATTCTCATCATCCCTGACCACTGGTCCTGTTAGCTAGGGATGATGGGAGTTGTAGTCCCAAAACATCTGGAGGGCCGAGTTTACCTATGCCTGCCATATAAGTTGCAATTTCAGCTGAATTTGGGGAAACCACTTGAAGCATCCGTTGTGTTGAGCTATTTGCTCATATCAAAATTTACAGACTTTCAGCTGTTTGCAAATAAACCTGATTTGCAATGGGGGTTGAATAATTTCAATTGCATATGGAAGGTAAGCTGCTTCAGACTGTTTCAATAATATAAGCTCCCCAAGCAGGTGAAGCCAGCTTGAAGAAGGGCAACTAGCAGCAGCATTATTATTTCCAGAACATTTACCAGAATAAAAATAGTGATAGGTATTTTGCCGCCTTCAACAATAAGCACTTTAAGATTATACATTTATTTACAAGTAATTGTAAAATGTTTTGTACGTGGGTTAATTGTGTGAAGTTGAATTAATATATACACAGAAGACACTGGAAGAGCAGACAAACACATTGATCAGTCTCCTCTGACACTGCTGCTTAAGGTATCTAAAATGCAGAAACTGAGCTTACAAAACTGCTTTTCCAAAGGTTGAACAACTTGATAAGGGAGGTGAGAGATTGAAAAATGCAGTAATAGCACTTGTGACCTCCTTACTGTTTTTTTTAAAACAGAAAGCAAAGCAGTAGCATCTTATTTTCTCTAGTAAGAGACAGAAGGATTAGTTATACAGGTGAAACTCGGAAAATTATAATATCGTGGAAAAGTTCTTTTATTTCAGTAATTCAACTTAAAAGGTGAAACTAATATATGAGATAGACTCATGACATGCAAAGTGAGATATGTCAAGCCTTTATTTGTTATAATTGTGACATTATGGCGTACAGCTGATGAAAACCTCAAATTAACCATCTCAGAAAATTAGATTATTAAATGAAATCAGCAAAACAAGGATTGCAAATAGAGCAATATTGGACCTCTGAGAAGTAGAAGCATGCATATGTACTCAGTACTTGGTTTGGGCCCCTTTTGCATCAATTACTGCCTCAATGCGGCGTGGCATGGATGCGATCAGCCTGTGGCACTGCTGAGGTGTTATGGAAGACCAGGATGCTTCAATAGCAGCCTTCAGCTCTTCTGCATTGCTAGGTCTCATGTCTCTCATCTTTCTCTGTGGTACCTCTGGTTACATACTTAATACTGGTTACATACTTAATTCATTCCGGAGGTCTGTTCTTAACCTGAAACTGTTCTTAACCTGAAGCATCACTTTAGCTAATGGGGCCTCCCACTGCTGCCATGCTGCCGTCGCACGATTTCTGTTCTCATCCTGAAGCAAAGTTCTTAACCTGAGGTACTATTTCAGGGTTAGCGGAGTCTGTAACCTGAAGCGTATGTAACCCGAGGTACCACTGTATTAGTTTCACCTTTTAAGCTGAATTACTGAAATAAATGAACTTTTCCACGATATTATAATTTTCCGAGTTTCACCTGTAGAAAGGGAAACAAGCACTTTGATTTTTCTCTCATTCTTTGCGCGCCACAAAGTTATTGTCAACCCCTGTCCCATAGCAATCTTCAAAAAGCCTTGAAAACTACTAAGCAGTTCGGATATTCTTAAAAGAAAGGATACCTAGCACTTCCTTAGATATGTTACCACACTACAATGATAAATCACTTTGCACATGACCCACAGAGCAAACTGTAACCTCCTTCCCTCACCTCTGATGAGCTTAAAATAATAGCCCATTTTGCAATTTGAAATGCTTTCATCACATTGCTGAACAGAAAAAAGGAAGAATGAGAAAACAGCAGGGAAAAGTTAGTTCTTCACACAGTACTTACAGATGCATTGAAGTTGATACAAGCAGTTAAATGACCAGCCTAGACAGATCAGCACTTGAGTCACAGTTAAAAATGTATATTGTAGATAAACATTCTTTTAAAAAAATCTAGTTACATTGTGTATAACACGTAATTGTAATTAAAATATTAGTGTAGAATAGAGCAGGCATGTCCAACAGGTAGATCGTGGGGTGTTCCCAGCAGATCTCTGGCCCCTCAGCGATCTCCTTAAAAAGAAGCAAAAAAAGCAAAAAAAACACCAACCCCAACCACAACTTTGGCTTCCTAAAAAAAGTTCAGCAATTATGGGTAGATAACTGCTAGTCTTTTTACGACAATGAGTAGATCACTGACAGATTTTTTATAATGTGAGCAGATTGCAGTCTATTGGGAGTTGGATGTCCCTGCACTAGAGAAATGCACAATACTGCCCTAATATGAGGTGGTAGATCACAGAAAGTGGAATTCAGCCTTATTAAGTCTTTTACAAGTAACCCAAGTACAGTACATTTGACCTCATGGCGGAGGGGTTGCTTTCTGTTGTCCAAGGAGAAAGAAGCTTCAGTAAGGTTGAGTGGCAACAGCACAACAGCTATTTTGCTTTTTAAAGTAAATGCAGTGATGCTAGAACAACTCAGACACTTCATACATACGCATCATCCAGGGTCAACAGTCACGCCAACTCTGCTCTACTATTGCAGAAACCCGTTTTTCATATTCCCGCTTATTCTCTTGGTATAGCTGAGCTGCCTGGCTGTTTGCAGGACTGTTTGGATTAGGCTCATCCAGTAAAGACTGTTTTGAGAAGAAAAAGATGGACCAGGTTTCATAATGAGGTTTCAAACAAAGCAAGCAAAATGGTTAATTCAACATATCAAAGCTTGACAGATGTACCATGTATATTAGGAACGTTTCTTGGATATTTCAGGTCCCCTGCTTAGCCTGCACCTATCCCATTGTTTTTAACACAATGACATGCACACTCCACATGTACAAGTTACACAATTAACAATTATCTTTGTTCCAACAGCAAAGCTTAATGTGTGCAATGAGCCACTCCTTTAAGCCTACATAACTATGCTCAGAATCAGTTCTGATGGGAGAACAGTCCATTAGAGAACCGTCCAAGGCTTTTGGCCTTGTGAATACCCTACCAGCAGACATCTTGCATGGGCTTCAAGCGACAGTTTGAAGGTGGATGACTTCTGAACATTTTCAAAAGTGCAAAAAGGAAGGGGAGGAGAAAGCACACTCCCAAGACTGTAAGAATATGCTTCTGCTACACCAAATACGCAAAAGGTAATCATCACCACTAGAAAAATTGTAGTGATGCAGTGCTTCTGAAATGTATAGCTGCTTCAGTTTGTGAAGCCATTTTGTTAATCTTTTTGGGCAAGTCACAGAGTGGGGATGCAATGTATCACTAATTCAATTTGGGGGGGGGAGTCTTCTTTGAAGTGCTTTTAACACTTTAGGCCCTTCCCAGTTGTTTAGTCAGTAGTGTTTCAGTTATTTTGTATTTTACCCACATTGTATGTACATTTATAGAATCACAATCATAGAATTGTAGAGCTGGAAGGGACCATGAGGATCATCTAGTCCAACCCCCTGTAGTTATACTATTGCATTTTATAATTAACAGAAATAAAAGGATGGGTCTTAAATAATGATGATGGAATCACATGGCAGATAGTTCACCAGATAGTTGTGTTTCTGCTTTCATGGTTATTACAGAAAGTAAATCCCTGATGTTACCTGTATGGATGTTAAGATGGATGATACATCATAGGTAGGACTCCAACGGTTCTGAAGAATATCCAGACATATACTACCATCTGCATAGACTACAAAAGGAAATGAATGGGTTTCATAACAAGAGCCAGTGCCCTGCAAGTTTCTCTTGCCAGGTTGTCACTCACAGCTCATTGTCAGCATTTATTGAATAACTAACTAAAGTCACGCACAGAGTAAGTGTCTGAAGCTTGTTCCTCATCTGATTTCCACAAGTTATGAAACAGGCCCCTGGTGAACTGAATCTGTAAACTGCACCTTGCTCCACCAACACATCCTCCTTTCTGACCTCACAACTATGTTTATGAAGATGTTCACAGCATGGTATTTCAAGCAAGGATTAAGAACCAGGTACGCATTTCCTTTCTAAGATCTATGCAAGTCTAATGTGAACTTTGCAATATAGGCTTTAGAATTCTATATTTTAGAATCCATTTCCATGACTATTGCTGTAGTTAAAGACACAAACCACTCCATTTTAGATGGTACATACCATTTGGATGAAACATCTTAGAAACAAATCTAACAGTAGGTGGCTTGTTTGGATATTCTTCTGTGAATTCTATGGTAAGCTTGAAAGTTCCTGCAATTGAAAGAGGCAAGGCCTAATTATCTTGTTCACAGATTGAAACTTCCCCTGTACCTGTTGTGCAGATGCTCCAGCAGTTTCACGGAATTCCCTAGGTATAGGAGATTCAATTATTACGTAGTCTGCTATTCCACTGACAACAGTGGGCCAGCCAGATGCCTCTAGGAAGCTCACAGGCCGCTGCCACTGCCACCACAATTACAAGGCCTTGCAGGCCGTTGTTGCTTTTGCCACTGCCGTAAGGCCTTGCAGGCCACCACAAGGCCTCGCAGGCTTCTGCTACCACCGCCCACTGCCGTGGCAAGGCTTCATAGGCTGCTGATTATTGTGCCACTGCTGCCAGGCGGCTGCCGCTTCTGCTGCCTAGCAGGCCTGCTGGCAGTCCCAGATTATTTGTATTCACTATGACTCATCACCGTACTTTGGACTGTCTCATTTTTTGGAGTGTCTCATTTCGATGCATTTTGGCTTGCCTGCTGCTGAAAGTGACCATTAGGTGATTGATAATATCATCATTTATCCGTTTCAGAACCTTAAGTAGTAGCAGTTGCCATTGATATACCGCAATATTGAAAACTAGTTATCACCCAGTCCTACACCTGACCTTCCTGCTGCTTGGAAGGAAGCAGCCAGCCCATCTCACTTGGGGGAGGCAAAACAGTATTTGGAAAGCAGCAACCAGTAATCACCATACACAGGGACAGGACTTCTCAAATTACTTGCAATTGTACTGCTACCTGGAGTTTTGAAGGCTGTTCGCAATATATTGCTGGGTCAAATATAATGAAACTGTTATTGCGATGTGGGCTTCAAACTGGTTTTGAACAATGTATAGATAGACCACATGATCAGAACAACCAGGGAGGTGAATGAAGTTGACAGCAAAGTGCTAGAAAGGGGATTGAGGAGAAGACTACAATTGTCAAAATGGGAGGGAATGAACCAGTGTTTTTATCCAGAGGAAAGAGAAAAGGGACCATGTATTTGAAACACTCTCTATTTATGGAGATAGCCATCCTTGATAACCGGTGATCAAAGATATATTGCCTCTGAACACGTATGATACACTGTTACCTTAAGCAGACTTCGTTTATAAGAAGAAATTCAAATAAGTTCTTAAGTAAAGGGCACTATTTACACAGTAAGCCTAGTCACCACTTACAAGGCAAAATGCTTAACTGCAGCTGGCTGTGTTTTAGCCAAGAGAGAGCAAGGACAGCTGATCCATGGAATCCTGGGAGTCATTAATATATGGATTACATCCACCTTGTCTTCACTGAAAACATTTTTTAGCTTTGTTTTAATACTTACCATCTTCAAATGGGGTTCCCTCAGGCCTGAAAGAGGAGAAAGCATATCAGCACCTCACATGTTGTTTGCCAAAGTTAGTTTACTGTTGAACTGGCAGTCAGCCTTTACAGAATGACATACAGTGGTACCTCAGTTGCCGAACGTAATCCATTCTGAAAGACCGTTCTACTTCCAAAACGTTCAACAATCGAGGCGCAATGGGTGGTCGGCAAAATCCATGGGGAAAAAATGGAGAAACGTGCCTCAGAAGCTGTTCGATTTCCGAGGCACGTTCGAAAATGGAAGCATTCATTTCCGGGTTGTCGGCATTCGAAAGCCAAAACATTTTACTTCCAAAGCATTTGACAGGCAAGATTCCACTGTATAGTTGAATTTTGACCCGTGCCCAGCACAGAAATGGGGGTCAGAGTGAGCAAGCTTTAAGAGTTTTGGGAGAAAAAAACCCAAAAGTTTTAGCAATTTCACAATTTCTACATGTGGGTAGTTTTACTTATGTAAATAACTTCTACCAAGCAGTCACCTGCTCCTGTGCTGCTGCCACCTCTAATCCTGCTCTCAACCCAGATGCCATCTGGGTCAAATGGTGGGGATACCACCCCCAAATACTCCATAGCATTGTGTAATTAAAACAGCAGTGCTAAGGAAACTGCACACTGCTCACCGCCCCAGTTTTGCTGCTATTTTAAAAATAAAGGCAGCAGCATGATGGTGCTGCATGGCTCTGGTCTGATGGCAACCAATTTGTCACACAGAAAGGTACCCCCAAGGGTCATTTAATCCAACCCCCGGTAACACAGGAATCTCAACTAAAGCATCCCTGACATACGGCTATCCAACCTCTGCTTTAAAATTTCTAGTGAAGGAGAGTTCACCACCTTCTGAGGGAGACCGTTTCCCTGTCGAACAGCTCTTACCACCAGAAAGTTGTTCGTGATGTTTAGTCAGAATTTCATTTCTTTGCATTTTAATGCATTGGTTTGGGTCCTAGCCTCTGGAGCGGCAGAAAACAAGCTTGCTCCCTCTTCAATGTGACACCCCTTCAGATATTTGAAGACAGCCATCATCGTTCACAGGTGACTGGACATATACTCAACTAAGAAACTTCCTCCCCTGAAACACCAGGACCCAATGGCCTGACAGCTAAATATTAAAAAAACAACTCCAGAACTCTCTGGTGCAGCCATTGAAAGATGTTATGAATGAAATTTTAAAGAACGGTAAAGTACCAGAGGCCTGGAAAGAGGCATTCATTACCTTGATCCCAAAGCAAGACGCAAACTTAAAGGTAGGTACCCCTGCCCGTACGGGCCAGTCGTGTCCGACTCTAGGGTTGTGCGCCCATCTCACTTAAGAGGCCAGGGGCCAGCGCTGTCCGGAGACACTTCCGGGTCACGTGGCCAGCGTGACGAAGCTGCTCTGGCGAGCCAGCACCAGCGCAGCACAAGGAAACGCCGTTTACCTTCCCGCTATAAAGCGGTACCTATTTATCTACTTGCACTTAGGGGTGCTTTCGAACTGCTAGGTGGGCAGGAGCTGGGACCGAAAGACGGGAGCTCACCCCGCCGCGGGGATTCGAACCGCCGACCATACGATCGGCAAGTCCTAGGCACTGAGGTTTTACCCACAGCGCCACCCGCGTCCTAAGACGCAGACTTACTTTTGGTTAAAAGCTATAGACCAATCTCTCTATTAAACGACGATTATAAATTATTTGCAAACATCTTGGCCAATAGATTGAAAGGAGTCTTGACAGAAATAATCCATCATGATCAAGCTGGTTTCCTACCAGGACACCAGGTGAAGGATAATATAAGGAATATAATTGATGTTATAGAGCACACCTGGAAGTTAGAAATGAGATGGTAATATAAAAGATGAATTTTGAGGAGACCTTTGGGAGAGGTATTGATGCAATATACTCCGATCAACAAGCAATGTTAATTGTGAATAATGTTACAACAGAAAAATGTAAGATATTAAAGGGGACAAGACAAGGCTGTTCCCTGTCACCATTATTATTTATTTTAGTGCTAGAGGTCCTGGTGAGGAAGATAAGCACAGATGAAACAATTAGAGGAATAACTGTAGGAAATAAAGCATATGAATTAAAAGCATTTGCTGGTGACTTTGTGATTACGGTAGAGGACCCAAAAAACTCATTACCAAAGGTATTGGAAAAAATTCAGGACTTTGGACAGGTGTCAGGTTTCAAACTGAATAAAATAAGACTAAGGTTTTATTGAAAAATGTGATGGAGCAATACAAAAAGGAGTTACAACAGATAATGGATTTAAATATACATTAAAAAGTAAAATATCTGGGGGTATGGTTGACAGCTAAAAATATTAATATATTCAAAGATAATTATGAAAAAAATGGAAAGAAATAAAAAGGAATTTAGAATTTGGGGAGAATGAATTTATCGTTATGGGGGAGAATTTCAATGATTAAAATGAATGTATTGTCAAGAATGTTATTTCAATCAATCCCGGTGATAAGCAGTACTGGATGCTTCAAAGAATGGCAAATATATATTTCTAGATTCATCTGGCAAGGGAAGAAACCAAGAATAAAATATAAATTATTATCAGATATGAGAGAGAGGTTTTGCCCTGCCGGATTTGAGTTTATACTATGAGGCATCTTGCATCTGCTGGATCCGGGAATGGATAATATTGAAAAACAGATATGTGTTAGATCTAGGAGGACATAATAGATTTGGATGGCATGCATATTTATGGTATGATAAAGTAAAAGTACATAAAGGATTTCAGAATCATATACTAAGAAAATAAATTTTTAAAGTATAAAAGTATAAAGTATAAAGAAGTATAAAAAGTATAAAGTAGTATAAAAAGTAAAAGTATAAAGAAGTATAAAGATCTATTAGAACAAAAAACACTGTGGTGGCTTTCCCAGTTAGAAGCAATATCTGTGAAGAAAGTGAATATGAGGACTAACTAGCCAACATATAGAGAGCGTTAACCGAGGTAGAAAACCTACCAGGTAAAATTAAAAGATTTTGATGAGGTGAGAGAACTGGTAATAGACTGGTTACAATACCAACAATTAAATGTTTTTTTTAATGGATAAAAAGAATGGTTTTAGTTATGAATGATCAAGATTTCAAAGAGAGATCTTAGAAAATAACTTTAAATTGTTGTCAAAAATGTATAATTTGCTCCTGGAAGGGAACACAAAGGATGAACAGGTCAAATCTGTGATGATACAATGGGCGAAGGATGTGGGACATAATATAAAAATGACAGATTGGGAGAGGCTGTGGAAAACACATCTGAATTTATGGCATGTTCCTCACTGAAAAAAAACTATATGAAAATGATGTATTGGTGGTACTTAACCCCAGTAAAATTAGCAAAAATGTATAGAACAAGTACCAATATATGCTGGAAATGTAAAGAAATAGAAGGTAACTTTTATCATATGTGGTGGAACTGTAATGTAATCAAAAAATTCTGGGAAATGATATATAATGAAATGAAAAAATGTTTAAAATAACTTTCCCTAAAAAGCCAGAAGCTTTTTTACTAGGAATTATAGGTACTGAGATCCCCAAAGATCAGAGGAAACTGTTCATGTATGCTACAACATCTTGCTAGATCTTGCTAGCTCAGATCTTGCTAGCCCAGAGATGGAAGGAAGAGACAACCCTGACCAAAGAAGAATGGCAAATCAAGTTGCTGGACTATGCCGAAATGGCAAAATTAACTGAGAAGCTCAGAAACCAAGAAGACAAGAAACTTTTTTTTTAAAAAAAGGGAAATGTTTATAATGTATATACAAAATCATTGCAAACAGGTTAAAACAGTAGCAGGATTCTAAATACACTTGTAATGTAATAGAAAGTACAGATAACCTAGGAAGATAAAAAATTGGAGAAGTATTGATATGCAGTTGAAAATAGAATTAAGAGGACCCATGGATGGGATGGGGGGAAGTCAGGAGATTCAGAGTAATCTTGATATGTGGAATTTGTATGATCTTTTGATGTAAGCTTATTCCTTTTCTTTCTCTTTTTCTTCTTCTTTCCTCTATTTTGGAAAATCAAATAAAAAATGATATATATATAAATAAACTTCCTCCCCTGTCTAACAGGACGTAATATTCAGTGGATTCTGGTTTTTTGCCACATTTGCAGACCACTCTGAAGCTAATGCTTGATCAGGGTTCAAAATTATCGTTGAGCTATGCCAAGCAGCCTTTTGCAAGTGGATGGAGATGTCCAGGGGCACCATTTGTGCCTAGCATCTACCCCTGACTGACTGCAGTCTGCTGGTCTGACAGCCACCACTGCAGCAAAAGATCAGTCACCCCATAAAGCTGGGTGACTGATAAGGAGGAGGGAGGTTGCCTGGGTAGAGCAGAAGAGGGGAAAGGGATGCTGGGGGTAGGAGGAGAGAGAAACACAGAATACACTCATTTTCAGGGTTGTTTTTATACCCCTCCTTATAGAGCACACATACATCCAGGCACACACACCATCAAGCTATTTTGCTAGTCTCTTGCATTTCTCATGCCCTCTGCGTAAAACTAAGGCATTGTTAGTTACTGAAGCTGGGGAGGATTTATTTTTTGCGGGAAGGAAGATTTTAAGAAGTGCTTCCTCACTTTTTTTGCTGTTGTTTTATTTCGGGAAGATAACGTGCTGCAACTTAAAGCTGCCGGCTCCCTTGAATGTTCCTCAGAGAAAGAGAGAAAGATACAGTGGTGCCCCGCAAGACGAATGCCTCGCAAGACGGAAAACCCGCTAGACGAAAGGGTTTTCCGTTTTTGAGTTGCTTCGCAGGACGAATTTCCCTATGGGAAAATGTCTTGCGAGTCTTGAGATTTTTTTTTCGCTTTCCCCCCCTTTATCTAAGCCACTAAGCCTTTAATAGCCTTTTAGCAGCTAATCCGCTAATCCAACAAGCCTTTAATAGCCGCTAAACCGCTAATAGCGCTAATCCGCTAAGCCACTAATAGGGTTGCTTCGCCAGACGAAAAAACCGCTAGACGAAGACACTCGCGGAACGGATTAATTTCGTCTTGCGAGGCACCACTGTAATGCAGGAAGATATGGGCTGCAAGTTAATGAAAGGATGTTCCTCAAGTCACCCCAGGGTGTCACGGCACACTGGTTGAAAACCAATGCTCCAATGTAAAGATGAAGCCCGGAGTAATGTGCCCCTGCATTGCTATCAGCTGTTACTCCTAATGGAGCATACTGGATGGTTTTTTTTACTGGTCAACAAAATTAAAAATCCTGGTCACCACCAGTAACAATGTTTGCACACCTTCACTGGCTAATCTACTTACATGTCTGTTGCAAGGATAATCGGGGGAGAAGTGGAATGACTGCCATATGTACCTTCTCAAACTCCTTACACCAGGGGTTGCAACATGGTGCCCACAACAAGCACACATACCGTATTTTTCGCTCTATAGGACACACTTTTTCCCCTTCAAAAATGAAGGGGAAACGTGTGTCCATCCTATGGAGCGAAGACGCCATAGCCCCGCGACCCTCTCCTGGGCTGGAGAGGTGACGCACGGCACCTCTCCAGCCGGGAGAGCGCGCGCGGGGCTAAAGAAGCCATAGCCCAGCGACCTTCCCCTGGCTGGAGAGGTGACACGCGGCTATTGCAGCAGCCTCTTTAGCCGCGCGCCACCTCTCCAGCCGGGAGAGTGCGCGCAGGGCTAAAGAAGCCCCCCGTGACCCTCTCCTGGCTGGAGAGGTGACGCGCGGCTATGGCAGGAGCCTCTATAGCCGCGCGCCACCTCTCCAGCCGGGAGAGTGCGCGCGGGGCTAAAGAAGCCCCCCACAACCCTCTCCCGGCTGGAGAGGTGATGCGCGACTATGGCAGCAGCCTCTCCGCTGCGCGCCTTTCCGCTGCTCCCCGACCTGCTCTTTGGGGCTGGTGGTGGGCTTCCCCCCGCCAGCCCCAAAGAGCAGGTCGAAAGGAACCTGAAGCCTGGAGAGCACCGACCCCTCTCGCTCTCCAGGCTTCCAAGGTAGCCACCTGAAGGCGACTGAGCGCACCTTAAACGGCACCTTGTTTTAGAGCGGAAAACAAGAGGGGGAAAATTCTCCCCCTCTCTGCGCAGCGCCTCCTGCCGCTTCGCTGAAGGGGCGCTGGGCAGAGAGGGGGAGAATTTTTTTTCTTGTTCTCCCCCCTCTAAAACAAGGTGCGTCCTATTGTCTAGTGCGTCCTATGGTGTGAAAAATACAGGTATATGCCTGCAGAAGCCTTTCCTGGAGCCCACATGGTCCTCTCTTTCCAGCTGAAATTAGACTTGGAAAAAAGCATTCTGTTGTACTCAACAGAATAGGTCATGATGGGTGTGTGGTGCCCACAGCAGTTTCACCTGTTTGCACATGTGTCCATAGGCCCAAAAAGGTTGGCGATTCCTGCCTTACAGCAAGAGATTTTTTTAAAAATGTACAACACACCAGAGGCTGCTTATTGGAATTAAAATAAATTTTGTCCAGCACCAGCTCTAGTTTTTGTAAACTCACACAGAAACACAACCCTCTCTGCCTGGATATATGACTTTATAACACTGTTGAGATTTTTTTTTATTTAAAAAAAACACCTTCCGCCATCACTGGACAAAGAGGAAAATACAATTAAGAACAATAGCTGTTACAAACAGTCATCCCTGCAAAACTACATGACCTCAGAGGATGAGCAAAACTAATTATAATCATTAAAGAAATAATTTTAATAGCAAATAGACCCTACTATGAACATCTTAGAAACAGGAGAGGAGCGAGATGCAGCTACAATTATAATTATTACACTTGTGTCTTTCTTTTTCTTCCCAAAATACAAGCAGTTTTCTACTGTAATAATATTACTATAATAAATACATGTATCGAAGACATATCATTCTGCACTCCTGGAAAGCATAGAAAGATACCTAACTTTATGAAAAACACTGAATGGGAACAGGCATTTTCATTTTGTGCTCTTAGAAGGAACAGCATGATATACGTGAAATAAGAATAATAATAGTAAGAAGAGCACACATTGGCAGACACCCCCCCCCCCCCCTCAAGATGCGCGATAAGGATTGCTGATTATTATTCTGAGAGAAACGGAGATCTGGACACTGAGATTACATAGAGTTTTAAACCTCTTTTTTCGGATTTATTTGGAAAAGGAAGAACAGGCGATCCAGGCCTGCCTACTCACCCAAATATGACCGCGTTCCACACCATTATGTTGTTCTCCGAGGGAGCCCCACTGACTCCGGCTGGAGGGTCCTCCTGAAGCCTGTTTTGGGAGGGAGGGACGGGAAAAAGACACCCAATTCAGTGGCGGGAGAGAGTATCACCGTCCACCCAATCAGGGCAAACGACGTAACTCTCCATCCATGGGCGCCACTGCCTGCCTTGTGCAAGTAACACAACTCTGTCACTACGCTACCTTTATTAGCGCCATGTTGGATCACCTCACCTCTTCCTTACTTGCTTTCCTCGTTAGCGTCTGGGAAGGGGGGTCCCGACTCAGCGCTTACCTTTTGAAATCCCGCATGAGCCGCCTCCGGGCGGGCGTGGACATCGCGAGCTCGTGATGTTAAAACACTCATACACACCAGCCCCCAGGGAAGGTGGGGCGCGGGGCACAAAAGGCAGTGGCAGGTTCCGAGAGGCTCCCTGAGCTGTAACACCTTCTAACTCTTCAACAAAGGCGCGGGGCTGACGGCAGGGCGATCAAACAACGCGTCTTAACAATGGCGGAGGCTGCTGGGCAGTTCCAGACCGCACCACTGCCGTTGCGAGGGAGTGGTCTTTGGTAATAGACAAGAGGCTGCGCTAGATTGAGCCAAATCAGGGCAATACCACTAGAGAGAAGCTGAAAGTGATCACACTTAAGAGTGGGCAGTGACGTACACCGAAAGATTCTGGACGATACCAATGGAAAAGGGGAGCATAGCTGTCAACGTTTCCCTTTTTTTAAAGGGGATTTCCCTTATTCCGAATAGGATTCCTCGCAAGAAAAGGGAAAAGTTGACAGCTATGAAGGGGAGGGAGAAACCATCCTGTGTATAAGCCTCTTCTGTAGTACTTGTAGGCTTCGTCTTGGCTGCCCTCCTCCTTATTGATGCATAAGAACATAAGCCCAGCCTGCTTGATCTGGCCAATGGTTCATTGAGTCCAGCATCCTGCTCTCACAGTAGCCAACCAAATGCCTGTGCAAAAACCGGCAAGCAGGATTTGAGCACAAGTGCACTCTCCCCTCCTGCAATTTTCAGCAACTGGTATCATCATCATCATCATCATCAATTAACATTAATAATTTGTATACTTCATCTGAAGATCTCAGGGCGGTTCACAACAGAAAAACACAAAATAAGATTACAAAATACATAACATAACAAAACAAAACCGTAAACCCGCTCCCAGAAACACATTTTAAAAGTCATAGACTGCTAATTAGCCAAAGAGAAACATTTTTGCCTGGCACCTAAATATATGCAATGAAGGTGCCAGGCGAGCTTCCCTGGGGAGAGCATCCCACAAACGGGGAGACACAGCAGAAAAGGCCCATTCTCATGTTGCCACCCCCTAGAACTCTTGTGGAGGAAGCACACAAAGAAGGGCCACTGGTGGTGATTGCAGGGTCTGGGACAGTTTATATGGGGGGAAAGCAGTCCTTGAAGTACTGCAGTCACAAGCCGCTTTGGGCTTTATGGGTCAAAACCAGTACAGTGGTACCTCGGCTTACAAACTTAATTCGTTCCGGAGGTCCGTTCTTAACCTGAAACCATTCTTAACCTGAGGTGCGCTTTCACTAATGGGGCCTAACGCTGCCACCGCACCACCGGCGCACAATTTCCATTCTGATCCTGGGGCAAAGTTCTCAACCCAAGGTACTACTTCTGGGTTAGAGGAGTTTGTAACCCAAAGTGTTTGTAACCCAAAGCATTTGTAACCTGAGAGGTGCCACTGTAGTTTTAATAGGGACTGGAAACTAATTGGCAGCCGGAGCAGCTGGACCAGAATCAGTGTAATATGCTCAAACTGTCTTGCCCCCGTGAGCAACCTGTGCACCAAATTCTGCAGTAGCTGAAGTTTCCAAACTGTCTTCAGAGGTAGACTTACGTATAACATATTGCAGTAATCTAACCTAGGAGTTACCAGAGCATATATGATAGTTAGGCTATCCCTGTCCAGATTGTGGTGCAGCTGGACCACCAGTTGAAGTTGATGGAAGGCACTCCACACCACTGAGGCCACCTGAGCCTCAAGTGACAACAAATGACACAGAACTACCCCTAGGCTACATACCCACTCCATCAAGAGCAGGTAACCTCCCATCCATCCGATCTAGGGAACCACCCATGTCAGGGGATGATTGGTGGGTGCTAGAAGAGATAAGAGTCCAGGAAATCAGCCAGATTTACAGGATTTATTAGTTCCATTCTCCTATTTACACAGAGCTCTCAGAGCACATCTGCATCATTCGGGACCAAGTTACGGTAATCTGGCAATCGTAAGGCCGGTGCGGTGGTAACGTGTTGGCCTCTCTCTCACTGAACACTTCCTCCAAGTCTCGGTATTGTGGAGGGATTCCGCCTTTCTTTCCCAGACACGTTGGCCCTCCTTTCCCGAGGTTCCCCTACTCCCGGGCAGTTCTCCAAACAGTGCGCCAACCCGAAAGTCAGGGACCGCTGGTGCCATGAAACCACCGGGTCGTGCAAGGCCAACCAACTCATTCCCAGAATAATCGGTGGCCCCACCAACGTGGCTACGTGAAAGGCGATGGTCTCGGAGTGCGTGGAAATCCTCATCCTCATGGGAGGAGTCTGATGCGTCACTTCCCCTCCCATCAACGGTGGTCACTTGCAGAGGAAAATCCAGAGGCCGAAGATGCAACTGGTGCTGCGCAGCAAAGTCCCTGCTGAAGAAGTTCACACTGGCCCCTGAGTCCACTAGGGTGTGGACCTCCATTGCGTGGCCATTTGGGAGCTCCAGCAGCACCCTCACCACTATGCCTGGTTTGGGGTGGCCTGGTCGGGGCTCTTTGCTGCTGCTGCTGCCTGGCTGCTACCCCGGTTCACCACCAGCCAGGCCTTCCCATTTCCCTGCACCTGGGGCACTTCCTCTTCTCCCTGTGGAGTGGCCCCCACCATTCCCTGCCAGTTACGACGCTCCGGACACACTCTGGCAAAGTGTCCTGGTTTCTGGCACAAAAAACACCTCTTGGCCGCCTGCCAGTCCTTTCCCTCCTTTCTGCTCTACAGTTGGGCTTTTGAATGTTCCCGCGCGCAGGCTGAGTCGATCTCCATGGGCTCTTGCTGACTCTGACCTTGAGTAGCCCCTGCTGGCATCTCAAGAATGCGATTGCCATGGAAATGCTCCCCTATGCTCTGCCTCCTCTCCAGCAAACGGGCTTCCTGCCTGAGGCCCACCACTAAGGCAGCCTTAGTTAACGCATCCATATCTTTGGGCCGGGGCCCTCGGGCAAGCTCATCTTTCACGTCAGAATTTAGCCCGGCCTTAAACAGGGCCTGCACTGGTTCGGAACTCAAATCCCAACCCAGCTTGTGGACCAGCATTGCGAACTGAGACCAGTAACTGCGCACAGTCAAATTGCCTTGCTTCATAGCCAAGAGTTCCTGCTGAGTCATATCAACTTGACTCTCATTTGTAAACATGGCGTCCATCGCCTGATAGAACTTTGCCAAGTCCCGGAGTGCATCGTTACCGGCTGCTATCAGTGGCCTCACCCACTCTCTAGCTGGCCCCGATAGGTGGCTAATTATAAAAGCCACACTCTGTCCATCATTGGCAAAATCAGTTCCCTGCAGTTCTAAGGCATATTTCATCTCCGTTTTAAAGCTTAAATATTCCTGAGGATCGCTGTCAAACCTACCCACCAACGTAGGCATTTTTCTTCCCAGCAGGTCCCCTTTCAGTTCTTTATGTTGCGCCCGACTCTCTTCCAATCTGATACGCAACTCCTCCGCGCGTCTTTCCAGATCAGCGTGGCTTTCCTTCAAAGCAGCAAATTCCCTCTCCATTGCTCTTATCTGTCCTTTCTTGCTAGCACCCGGCATAAGAGTCTCTGCAAGCTGTCAGGGGATGATTGGTGGGTGCTAGAAGAGATAAGAGTCCGGGAAACCGGCCAGATTTACAGGATTTATTAGTTCCATTCTCCTATTTACACAGAGCTCTCAGAGCACATCTGCATCATTCGGTATCAGTTGCAGAGACTACCTGTTCCTTTCTTTTCCTCCAGCATAGCCACTTCCGGAGCCCTCCCCTTTTACTTCCTCTGTTACGTGAAGAGCTAAGCCCCGGAAACTGCTCCCCCCTCTGATTCATTGCTTCCTGATGTTACGGTAAAGTCTGGGCACGGGGTTACTCTGCCACCCAGCTCGTCGGACTGAATCCGCGGGTCCCTGCGGAAGAAAATGAGCTCAGCCGGAGACGGGAGCAAGTTCCAGGAGATCCAAGTTTATTGCGCAACAGGTTCAAGACGAGATTGAACCCCGAGTAAGGGGTGACCGGAGTTTTTGAAACTTCCCTCCATGTCCCATGATACAGTGCAAAAACACGTCATGAATACATTACAAAGAGGTTGGGTTACATGGGTGACATCATGAATATATCACGAAGAGGTTGGGTTACACAGATTAGCATATGGAACAGGGAGGGGGGAAATATGCAGAGCTGAAGATATGCGTAGATAAGCACTTCCTGAGTACCGGTGATGAGAAGACAATGGTCCGAATATGTAAAGTCTGTCACCTGGTATTGCCCGGAGGAAGGGCCGGGCAAAGTGATCTGACCGGATTAGGGTCTTCCTGAGTACGTGACTCCTCGCTCGAGGGATTATGGAGGTTGAGGAGGTATCATGGAGTCCTGAAAAAGCTGAGTTGATTGACACCAGGACCAAGGGAATCAGAGCTGGGGTTGATTTTATATGAATTTTAGAAGTTTCAGTCTATTTTAGCCCATTCTTACACTAATAATTGAAAACGGAAACAAACTGGATACATTTGACAGTTTTACGAGCTCAACTGGATACATTGTAACGAGATTTGACACTTTTACGAGTTTACGAGTTTCGATTCCATTGTTCTCTCAGCGGGGAGCTGTCAGCAGCTTGTCAAGAGGTTAAATGAGGCGTGCAGAGGCTCGCTGAGCTGACTCTGCAGAGTGGATGCACGGTTCTGATTGGTTAAGACGCGGCCATTGGAACAAACGGGAGTGCAGTTTGATATGGTCGACTCATGATAAAGATGGAGCGAGAGGAGAGAAAGGGACTTGGGAGTTTGGGCTTATTTCGCCCGTGGAAAAAGGGGGAAGGGGTTATGTGTAGTGCTTGTGCGACAGTGAAGAGGCTGGGGAAGGGGTGCAGAGTGCAGTGGGCGCTCTTGAGGTCATCGTTTCGGACGTAGGGAGGGCACCCCCCCCTTTTCCCGTATCACTGACAACCCTTCGTCACCCTCCTCCTCCGAGGAAGTGCAACTACTAACGATCTATATGTCCCCATTCTTTCCCCCTTCTCAGCCCCCAGTTCCCTGACAACCCACTAACATTGCCTCAGTCTTTTCTGGATTGAGCTTCAGTTTGTTGGCTTTCATTCAGTCCATTACCAAGGCAAGACACCGGTCCAGCACTTTCACTGCCTCACCTGCAAATGTAAAGAAGTAGAGCTGCGTATCATCAGCATATTGCTAACAGCATACTCCAAAACACTGTGTGGTTGTGTGTTCTGCTAGAGGACATGGTCTGCGGGGGAGGGGATACTGCTGAGAGGAAGCCAGGCTGAATGAGGAAGTGAGTTGAAGGAGAAGTTAGCAGCCAGCAGCAGTAATACTTAGCTGATTGCAGCTTCTGGGAGCTCCTGACGAGGAGCTCATAAACAGGGGGTTTGCAAGGGCATTTAGTGGTAGAGTTTGAGTAGGAGGTCTAGAGCAGGGGTCAGCAAACTTTTTCAGCAGGGGGCCAGCCCACTATCCCTCAGACCCTTTGGGGGGCCAGACTATATTTTTTTTGGGGGGGGGGAATGAATGAATTCCTATGCCCCACAAATAATCCAGAGATGCATTTAAAATAAAAGCACACAGTCTACTCATTGGCGATCTGCCCCCTCGGGAAAGGCTGACTCCTCTTCCCAGGCACAGGGGCCTCTCTCCGGTGGTCTGCCTCTGGCTGGTCTTTGCTCAGTCCAGAGAGACCGGTGATAAGTGACACCTCCCTTTTGAGAGATGCACACTCACTTTCCCCTTGCATCTCAGCAGAAGAAAGAAACAGTCTGAAAGTAGCCTAGCATTCTACTTTATTCACAGACTGTACACTGTACACGGAGCTAGTACAAACATGTCTGCTCTCTCAGCAGCCTCCGTACAACACACTGCAGCAACAACAGGAAGGTCTCAAGTTACACTGAACACAACCCTGAGAACAGCGTAGGACATCCTGTCTCACGCTCAGTAACATCAGAAATATCACATGATGTAAACAATGTGCTGCTAGCACGCAGCTGGTGAGTACTCATCCCAACTGTAAAAACATGCTGATTCCCGGACCATCCATGGGCTGGATTTAGAAGGCGATTGGACCGGATCCGGCCCCCGGGCCTTAGTTTGACTACCCATGGTCTAGAGTGCTGCCTCACGATGCATGTAGGACCAAGAGACACAGAGGGTGAGGGAGCTGCTGCAGTCACCTGCAATACCTGTGTCTTCCTGCCTGAGAATGTGAAAAACTATACCTGCAACAAGTGCGAGCTGGTTGCCTGTCTGGAATAGAAGGTACAGCTGGAAGAGAAGGTACAACAATTTGTTGGCTATTTGCAGTTTAGTTGCACTGCAGAAAGCTTGCTGGGGAGACCACGCATTACAAGGAACTCAAAAATAACTTTATCAAGGTTTTAATAACAAAAACTTCTTTTACACTAAATATATCAACAAGCATGACCCATTCCCCAGGGTACTAAGAGAGCTAGGTGCTGCTCTTTATATACTATACCCAACTGCTGACACAGCTTAATTAACGCAACTTAGCAGCACCTGCTATACTGTTTCACAGCTGTAAAACTGGGTCTCGTTATTTTCTCTGGCCCTTAAAGACATACACATCTTGTGGAACAATAATGAACCTTCAAATTTAAAGAGACCATTCAACACAATTTGAGGCCTGCCTATCCAAACTTCAAGCCACTGGGTGAGATGCGGAATTTCTTTATTATTATTATTATTATTATTATTGATTTTTACATATCATTCCCAAAAATCATATAACATATTTTCTTATCTTATACAATGTTTTGGACGTCCATCAACCGCATCTGAAGGTTTTTCAATCTTTATCACTTAATCTACATTTCATTAATTTCCTTATTACTTTTAATAATCCTTAACTAACAATTCTCTTCATAATCTTGTCTGCAATATTTCACATAGTCCTCCTTACAAAATTTATTGCAGTCCTACTAGCGTAATCTGTTTATTACAATTGCTTTTCAAATAGTTCAAATATTTACTCCAGTCCTCTGAGAATCTCTGGTCCTGCAGGTTTCAAATCCTTCCTGTCATCTAATTCTGCATAGTCCATTAATTTCATCTGCCATTCTTCTTTTGTCAGTAGTTCTTCTTGTTTCCATTTCTGTGCCAATAATACTCTTGCTGCCGTTGTTGCATATAAAAACAATTTACTATCCTATTTGTTAATATCCTCCCCTACAATGCCAAGTAAAAATGTTTCTGGTTTTTTAATAAATGTATATTTCAACATCTTTTTCATCTCATTATATATCATTTCACTTTCTTACATTCCCACCACGTGTGATAAAAAGATCCTTCTTTTTCTTTACATTTCCAACATTTATTACTTGTTTTATACATTTTAGCTAATTTCACTGGTGTAATATACCATCTGTACATCATTTTCATCACATTTTCTTTCAAGGCATTGCATGCTGTAAATTTTAATCCTTCTTTCCATAGTTTTTCCCAATCTTTTAACTGTATATTATACCCAAAATCCTTGGCCCAATGTATCATAACCTACTTTACTTCTTCATCTTTCAAATGCCATTCCAACAGCAATTTATACATTTTAGACAATCTTTTACAATTATTATTCAATACCTCAATTTCAAATTTTGATTTATTATGATCAAATCCATTTTCCTTTAAATCTTGTTTAAACATTTCATTGATTTGGCAATAGTGCAGCCAATCATTTACATATTCTTTTACCTCTTCATAAGGTTTCATTTTCCATTTATTTCCTTCCTCTTGTACTAATTTTTCATATGTAACCCAGTTTTTACTCATATTTATCTTTTTCACACTCATTGCTTCTAAAGGGGACAACCACCACGGTGTTTTACGTTCTAATAGGTTTTTATACCTATCCCATATTTCAAACAGAGATCTTTGGAATATATGGTTACCAAATCCTTTATGGACTTTTGTTATACCATAAATATGCATGCCAACCAAACCTATTATCAAAACCTTCTAAACCCAACAAATCTGTATTTTCTAACAACACCCATTCCTTCAACCAACAGAGGCAAGACGCTTCGTAGTACTATTTCAAGTCTGGCAAGGCGAAGCCCCCTCTTTCTGTAACATCTGTTAACAATTTAAATTGAATTCTTGGTTTCTTCCCCTGCCAGATATATCTTGAAATTATTTTCTGCCATTCCTTAAAAATTGCTGCCCCCTTGATTATTGGAATTGATTGAAATAACATATTTGATAGCACATTCATTTTAATAACAGAAATCCTACCCCAAAGGGATAGTTTCATCCTTCCCCATACTTCCAAATCTCTCTTAATTCCATTCCACACCAGTGTATAATTATTTTGAAATAAATCTATATTCTTTGATGTTAACCATATTCCTAAATATTTAACTTTTTTGACTGCTTCTATACCAATCTGCTGCTGCAACATATCCACCAAATCTTGTTTCATATTTTTAACTAGCATTTTAGTTTTCTTTTTATTCAATTTAAAACCTGCTACTTGTCCAAATTGTTCTATCTCTTCTAATATTTCTTTAGTGTTAAGAGTTAACACTCCAGGAGTGTTCTTATCAACTGGGTGCACTGCCCACATGACCTGGGCATTTTCCTTTGATCTGTGCTCTGTGGGGGCTGAGCTCTCTCTGGAGAGCAGTCTGTCTGAGAAATGTGAGCAAGGTAGTTTCGTTTTTGTTAGAGACAGAAAGCTGCAAGCATGCAGCTAGATTCTGTAGGTTTTTCTTTACTGTTTGTTATGCTTCTAAATAAAGAATGTTAGATTAGAAACACTGGTGTTGAGCTGAGTTATTAAAGACACCACGGTGACACAGACAAACCATTTTACGCTGCGTGTGAACTCTGCTATTATCTGGCAACTGAGAAGAGTGGCAGTGTGCAGAGTGGAAGCGTGTGGGTGCCATTGGAGTTTGTCAGAGTGGCAATAAATCAAATTTATTGCAGGGCCGTTGCAGCAGACTCAGTGGGTCAAAGGATTTACGACCCACAAACTTTAACAGGTTATGGGAGGCAGTAACACGCTAATGGCTGAGTGTCCTGAGGTGATTGATGGCCAGGACTGGGGGTCTGTGTCTCTGCTGCAGTCAGCAGCTTGAAAGTCCAGCTGGAGCCCTGTTTTCGTGCCATGCTTGAAGGCACAGAACAGTAGAAACTCGCTGGTGAAGCAAGCCATTTTTCCGGAGCTGGGAGCTGGGAGTTGAGAACTGGGAGCTGGAGATAGCGGCAGCTGTGTGAGTAACACAAGCCCCCCCCCCGGGGGGGGGGGAATGGCAGAGGTGCAGGAAAAATTTATGGCGGCTTTCCCAAAGCTGATGGGGAAGAACTGAGTGGACTGGTCCAAGAAAATGCAGGTTTTGTTAACTGCGAAAGGCCTTTGGACTTGCACGCAGAACTCACCTATGCAGGCCCAGGATGGGGCCGCAGCTGGGGTTCTAGCTGCTGCAGCCAAGGAGCTGAGGAGGGACCAGAGAGCCATTGCTCACTTAGTCATGGCCATAGATGAAGCCCAGATGGTTTACATTGACCATGCCACCTACGCTCACGAGGTCTGGGGTGCCCTGCAGCGTGTGCATCAGCAGGACATGGCTGGGGCCCGGATTCACGTCATCAGACAGCTATTTGATTTACGGTTGCAACCCGGAGGCTGTGTCAGAGAGCATATTTCACAGATGCTGGCGTTGTTCAACCGTTTGAGGCAACTACAAATTCCCTTTACTGAGCAACAAAAAGTCTTCATATTGCTGAGTTCTTTAGATTCTAGCTATCAGACTCTTTCTCACACGTTGGAAGCTATTCCAGCTCAGGAGCTTGACCTGGAATACGTGTCGGGTAGGCTGCAGGATGAGCAGGATAAAAGGCTGAGAGAGAAAGGAAGGGCTGCGAAGGGGGTTGCTTTGTGCCCAGGAGTGGGAGTGCAGAAGATGCTGAGAGCTCGGTGCAAGCTTTTGCAGCGAGGAGGTGCTACATTTGCAACTCAGACCAACATCTGCAGAGAAATTGCCTCAGGGTCGTCTCCAATAGCAACCGAGAGATCAAAGGCAGAACACGTCGTGGGAGAAGAGGCCTGGTGAGAGGGGGCAGAGGTGGAGAGCCAGCAACACATCAAAAGGCTGCTACGTATGCTTTTGTTGGCCAGGCTGCAGCCAACGGCAAACAACATTGGATCATTGACAGTGGGGCCAGCAGGCATCTAGCTCCACCTGGTGGCCAGTTATGAAACTGCTGGCAGATTCCAGATGGGAAAACAGTCACATTGGCTGATACAACCAAGAGAGCTATTTCAAAAGCTGGTGTTGTGTTTATGCCTTGTTTGAAAGCTGATATTGATGTGTATGTACTTGATGGTATGAAATGTGGGTTGCTTTCTGTTTATGCTCTTGACAATGCTGGTTTTCAGGTGCAGTTTGGGAACCGGGTATGCACCATTTCCAAAGATGGAGAGCAGTTAGTACAGGTACGAGGCCACGGTGGGCTGTACATACTTGAAACAGGTGATGACGCTTCTGAGGAAGCACAGACAAAGTGTGCCAACGTCCCCACTCATGACCAGTGTATGCACTTATGGCATAGAAGATTTTCGCCTGTGAACTGGAGATACGTGCGCAAACAGGTAGAGTGCACTGAGGGCTGTAAAATGAAGGAGTGCTCTAAGTTTCTTGAATGTAGAGCTTGTAAAAAAGCCAAAGTGCACACGACCAATTACCTGAGGTCTGAAAGAGTGACCAAGAAAGCCTTTGAGCTCGTGCATGCTGATCTTTGTTTTTGAATCGAAAAACAGCTGAAGAGGCCAAGCAAAAAGCATTGGCTGTAGAGGAAAAGATAGAGGAAAAGATTCCACCGATATGCAAGCAGCTGGAGGACCATAAGTCATTGCTGTCTATGATCGAATTGAAAGAAAAACAGACAAATCTAAGGGTCAGGGCTGTACCTGAACTTGAGAAAGATAACCTGAGTGACTTTCTTACGCAGGAATTTACTGACTTTTGGGATCTAGAACCAGACAAGCCAGATTTCAAGATACTAAGTGCCTTCAGACTTGGAAGAGGGGGGAGAAAGGACAGGGTGAGAGACTGTCTGATTACCCTCTGATCAAGAGAGGAGAGAGACAGAATATTGAGCTTGCACTTCCAGAAGACCTTGGAAATAAAGGGATCAAAAGTGGAGATATTTAAGGACATCCCTAAACATCTCTTGGCTCTCAGGTCTAACTACGGAGACTTGGTGGCCCTGCTAAGAGCAAATAGAATTATCTTTAGGTGGGAATTCCCTCAAGGCCTATCTTTCACCTTTAAAGGGGAAAAGTTCAAAATAAGATCAGTGGGACATAAAGAAACATTTTTGAAAGATCACGAAGAAGACTTACAAAAAGAAACTGGAAAAGAGCCCAGAGCTTTAAAACCAGGAATACAGGACATAGTATCACTACCTTCGGGATTGGACAAGCTAGAGAAGGTGATACCACCAACAGAACAAGAGCAACTACTTGGTGCAGTCGGAGGAAAAGCAAAATAAATACATCATGTCTCTGCAACTCTTAAGCTGGAATATTCATGGATTTAATTCCCCGGAGAAAAGGAAAAAAGTCTTTCATCTATTGGAAAAGGAACAATTGGACTTGATTTGTTTGCAGGAAACCCATGTGATAAGGCTCCACAGGAAAGTACTGATTAATAAAAGATTGGGCCAGGAGTTTATTTCATCGGATAATGTCAAAAAGAGAGGAGTTGTAATTTATGCGAAAGAGAGCCTATCGCTTAAATTTATTTTTAAAGATGATCAAGGAAGATATGTGGCAATTGAAATTCAAACACAAGGAGAAAAATTTCTGATAGTAGGAGTATACGCTCCAAATGAGGGGAAATCTGAATTTTACAAGAAGTTGCATGTGACACTGATGGACTATATGGATTACAACATTATAATGATGGGAGACATGAACGGAGTGGTATCCACAAATATGGACAAGTCGCAGAGACAGGTAGTTACCAAAGATGGCAGACTACCAAAAACCTTTTTTGAGATGACTGACAATATGGACTTGATTGACATTTGGAGAATAAAGAACCCCTGGCTAGGGAGGGAACCTTCTTCTCTGAAGCCAAAATGACATGGACAAGAATTGACCAAATTTGGATTACTAGAGGACTGGCACCTAAGACTCGAAAAGTGGAAATTTGCCCTAAAACCTGCTCCGACCATAATGCCGTGAAAATGGAGATGAAACTAACACCCACCGGCTCCTTCAGATGGAGGATGAATGACACCTTGTTTAGAGATCAAGAAATTACCAAGAAGGCCCAAAAAACCTTGAGAGACTACTTTGAGATAAATATGAACACCACCATTGAAAAAAGAGTAATCTGGGACGCAAGCAAAGCAGTTATGAGAGGGTTTCTAATTCAACAGAATGCAATAAAGAAGAGAACTCAAAATGAGAAAAAAGATAAAATCTTGGAAAAAATAAAAGAGGGGGAGAAGAAACTGAGAGCGAAACCCAAATCACAAGAGATTCTGAGAGAAATAAAGTTTTACCAAGTTCAATATATGAAGATGATGAATCAGGAAATAGAATGGAAAATTAAACAGATGAAACAAAGGACATTTGTATCAGCTAATAAATGTGGAAAACTGCTAGCATGGCAAATGAAAAAAAGACAAAAACTTAACACCATTACCAACTTGGAAGTGGAAGGAAAGAACATTCAGAATCCAGTGGAAATTAGAAAATGCTTCCAGAGGTACTTCAAACAGCTATACACACAAGGGCCACAGAAAGAGTGCGATTTAGACAAATGGGCTTCAAAAAATCTCTCAAGAAAATAAGCTAATGTTGAACTATAAAATAACAGAACAGGAGGTGGAAGGTGCCATCCAGAACATGCAGCTGGGCAAATCTCCAGGGCCAGATGGTTTAACCTCCAAATACTATAGATGTTTGAAGGACTGGATAATTCAACCATTAAAGGAGGTTTGTAACGAAATCTTAGAGGGGGAAAAAGCGCCAGAGTCGTGGAAAGAAGCTTATATTACACTAATACCGAAAAATGAGACTGAAAAGACGCAACTTAAGAACTACCGCCCCATATCCCTGCTCAATGTGGATTACAAAATTTTCGCAGATATTTTGGCTAAAAGGGTAAAAAGTATTAGTAGAAGATATCCATAAAGACCAAGCTGGCTTTCTCCCAGGTAGACACTTGTCTGACAACACGAGGAATATAATTGACATTTTGGAGATGCTGCAAGTAAATATTAACACTAAAGCAGTTTTAGTTTTTGTTGATGCGGAGAAAGCCTTTGATAATATTTCTTGGAGCTTCATGAAGAAAAATCTTCAGGGGATGGGAGTGGGTCAAGGGTTTGAAAATGGTGTAAGTGCAATATACTCAGAACAAAAAGCTAAGCTAATAGTTAATAATGTGGTAACAGAGGAATTTAAGATAGAGAAAGGGACACGACAAGGCTGCCCAATTTCCCCATTGCTTTTTATTTCGGTCCTGGAGGTTTTGCTAAATATGATTAGAAGGGACCGTTTAATTAAAGGTATACAGGTCGGAGCTAAACAGTACAAATTGAAAGCTTTTGCAGATGATTTGGTATTGACGTTACAGGAGCCAGAATCTAGTACTAAAAGAGTATTAGAATTGATTCAGGAATTTGGTCATGTGGCAGGATTTAAGTTGAACAAGTTAAAAACTAAGGTGCTTGAGAAAAATCTAACACCGATTGAGAAAGAGAGGTTTCAGAAGGAGACAGGTTTAACATTGGTTAAGAAAGTAAAATACTTGGGGGTTAATATGACTGCTAAGAATTTAAACCTATTTAAAGACAATTATGAGAAATGTTGGTCAGAAGTGAAAAAGGATTTAGAGATATGGTCAAACTTGAAGCTTTCCTTGTTAGGCCGAATTGCTGTTATAAAGATGAATGTATTGCCAAGAATGTTATTTCTTTTTCAATCATTGCAAATTGTGGACAAAATGGACTGTTTCAAGAAGTGGCAGAGAGATATTTCAAAATTTGTCTGGCAGGGCAAAAAGCCTAGAATAAAATTTAAAATACTAACCGATGCAAAGGATAGAGGTGGATTTGCCCTGCCAGACCTTAGACTCTATTATGAATCAGCAGCATTCTGCTGGTTGAAAGAATGGCTGCTTCTTGAAAACACAGACATTTTGGATTTAGAAGGTTTCAACAATGTTTTTGGGTGGCATGCATATTTGTGGTATGACAAGGTTAAAGCACATAAAGCATTTAAAAACCATATTGTCAGAAAATATGTATCTGGATAAGATACAAAGACTTATTGGAAAACAAAACCCCTAGGTGGTTGTCACCGATGGAAGCAAAGGCTCAGAAAAGGCTCAGTATGGAGGCCAAATGGCCGAAATATTGGGAAATTTTGGAACAGGAAGGAGACAAATTGAAATTGCAGAGTTTCGAGAAACTAAAAAACAAAGTGCGAGACTGGCTTCATTACTATCAGATAATGGAGGCATACAATTTGGATAAGAAAATTGGCTTCCAGGCGGAAAAATCAAAATTGGAAACAGAATTGTTAGAACCCAATACTAAGATTTTGTCAAGAATGTATAACTTGCTGTTGAAATGGAATACTCAGGATGAAACTGTGAAATCTGCTATGATTAAATGGGCACAAGATCTAGGATATAATATCATGTTTGCTGACTGGGAACAGTTGTGGACCACAGGTATGAAATTTACGGCGTGTAATGCCCTAAGAGAGAATATTATGAAAATGTTATACAGGTGGTACATGACACCAGTCAAGCTTGCAAAAATTTACCATGCGCCCGATAATAAATGTTGGAAATGTAAGGAAAATGAAGGTACTTTCTTTCACCTTTGGTGGACGTGCCCAAAGATTAAGGCTTTCTGGAAAATGATATATAATGAATTGAAAAAGGTATTTAAATATACCTTCTTGAAGAAACCAGAGGCCTTTCTCCTGGGCATAGTCGGCCAATTGGTGCCAAAGAAGGATAGAATTTTCTTTATGTATGGTACAACAGCAGCAAGAATTCTTATTGCAAAGTATTGGAAGACACAA